ACAACAAACTATATTAATATTTGGTTTTTTTTTTGTGTGATTCGCTTACAAACCATATCCCAAGCTTGTTGCTGCTTTTTCATATAGTCACACCACCAAAGTCTCCTCTAGCATCATTTATTATGAAAATAATGGATAATTTTCATATTTTACAATAAATAATTAATGTATGCTTGATATTTTATTATTGATATTGTACAAGGAATTGCATAATGTTTTTGAATCTTGTTTCTTGCTTCTTTAAAGCCTGCATTATTTATGCTGCACTTAATATTGACTTTCTTGCCTGGTCTCAAAAAGTGTGCTTTAGTAATTACCATCTGGTCGGCAATCTATCCCATCACTAGTGGATCTGTGTCTATTAAAGATGCACCTTGTTTTTTCCGAACTAAATCATGTTTAATAAAACTTAGTTCCTGCAGGACTCCGCAAACTTCGTAGATAGGTTACTGCTTGCAGCTGAAAAATTGAAAATTGAAAATTAATTGAATGTGTATATATATAGTATATATTTGCAGCATGCATGGAGTTTTGTTTGTATCTTTTTAAATTAATTTTTTCCTTATTAACAAAAAATAGATTATTCATGTGCTACATGCATACATAAATTTTTAAATTTATAAATAATTTGACTCTATTATAACAGTAGACAGTTTCAAAAATTTTAATGTTAGTATATATTATGGGTCAAATTATGTTCTTTTTTCTAATGTTATTGCAAACCTTAAGGTCAATTTACATATTAAACTTAGTTTTGGTCTGGGTCAAAACATATAACAAACAAGAATTTTTATTACTGACCTATCTATGAAGTTTGCGGGGTCCTGTTCCTGCAGTGATCGTGATCTTGATGTTTATTATTGCCTATTATTATCAACATTAAAGACAGAATTAAATTGGTAAAAATGAATACCGTATTCTCTGGAATATAAGCACCAGTATGAATTTGCAATGAAAAAACAAAAAAAATAGAAAAATAAATATAAGCACCACATATATTTCGAATTATTTTTTATTTTGATTTTATTTTTATATAATAATAAAAAATAAGATTTTTTTTATTTTGACTATTCTTTTCCAGAATCACCAGACTCCTCTTCTTCTAATTCTTCTAATTCATCAGCTGAATCATCATTTCTATTTAATATTTCCCGTTCATCTTCCTCATTTTCATTTTCATCCCCATATAAATTTAACACAAATTATCTGAAATAAAATGTCTTGAATGTAAGCATCGCCCACAGTTTTGTTGATCAAAACGTGTCAAAATGGTGGTGCTTATATTTCCAGAGAATACGGTAAACAGTTTAATTGACGAAACGCAGTAATCCCGCTACCATAAATATCCGACTACTTTGAGTCGTGTAACGTAAAATGAAAAGAGTCCCTTACTAAAAAGCAACGTTTTCTTAAATAAAACCTTTCTTAATTTACTAAGTAGATTTATACTGATATCAAAATCTTCGAAAGGTTTGGTATTTTATTAATGGAAAAATTTAGCAAATAGTCCAAAAAAGCAAGTTTTCAATCGGAATCTTTACATGTAATAAAGGTCAAATTCCTTCGTTGTAATGTATATTGCTTCATTAATAAAACGTGCTCAACGTAATGGATTACATATATCTACAATATAGTGTCAGAATAAATTAGTTCGTGGAATGGGTTTAAAAAAGTATCCGACCACCCAGTAATTTTATTATAATAAAGTTGACAAAAAGCAAATTTTAAGGTTTTACGTTTTGTTGTTTATACTTGATCAATTTTTCTCAAATTTTAACCATATATAATTTAAGTTATTTTAAGTGGGCTTACTTAATACATAATTTATGGTTCATTAGAGTTTGAACCTTTTTACAAAGCCCAAAGTTTTCATAAAAATCACGGAGTTTTGTCTAATTTAAAATTTTCATTCTAAATTCATTAATAATGAAAACTCGACAAGGCTTTAAATTTATATTCAAATTAACTTTAAAAACATGTTTACTTAAAGCATCAGTCCCAGTTTGGTTAATAAAGTTTTGAACTGCGTGAGGTATAAGTTTCCCAATTATTAAAATGATCATCAGGTAGGTGGTCAGATATTTATGGTAGGTGAGTGCACATGAATATAAAAGTTTCCTAGAGAATGAAAAAACCAAATATATATATATATGAATTAAATGGGATAAAATATATTATATAATGTGGTTACTATGTTTTTTCCCCTTGTAATAGAATTGTGGATTTTGGATCAAAAACGTATTTTATAGAAATTTTTAATATTAAGTATTTAACATTAATGTTTAATGTTAAGCTTTGAAAACAAAATTTTATAAAACATAACTTTTGGGAAGCATGAGATCAAAAAAAATAAGGTGAATGTTTTCTTGTCTTGATTTTCGCCTTTAAGAGACAATTCCACCTATATGACGCCATAAAAATTGTATTCTTTATTTATAAACATTCGTTTATGAATATAACAGAATTGAATTAATACAACAAAAAAATAAAATAATAAAAAAAGGATTTTGCTATTCCACAAAAAGAAAAGGCATTTTATAGAAATACCCAGTAATTCAACGTTGAATCTAAAATGTTGAATGTTGAATGTTGAATGTTGAATGTTGAATTATCGAGTAGCTGAATAAGTAATCGATAACGAGCAATTGGTTATCATGACAAAATCTTAATGAGGATCGTTTCATCAGATACTATTTACCCAAAAAAAGTATATCTTCAAAAAGTTGTTGGAATCTTGTTCTCAAATAATAAATTATTCGAAGAGAAGATTTGTAATGGAATAGCAGGAGTAGTGACAAAAATTATTGGCAATGAAAATATAAAGGTTTTAGCAGAGTAGTGGCAGAAAAAGAAATAAGCTATTTTGAACTCAATGGAAAGATGGCTCCTAGGAAACAATCTCCACTTCAGAATGCTTTTGCACCCACAGTCCATAAAACACAAGGTCTAGCCTTACCCAGAATAACTGTTTCTATATATGAAAATATTTTTGCGGACAGTCTTGAAGTTCGTTTTTCCTCAAATTAAATGCTAATGAATATAATAATAGCTGATAGGCTTGATAAATCGAAATGGATAAAAACCCGTTATGTCAAATTACTAACATCGATTATAATAATGAGATTTTACATTAAATTCTGTGGATTTATTTTATATTAATTATTATTATTACTACATTATTATTAATATATTAATATACTCTATAACGGACGGATAACTCCACATGTTATACATTAGATTTTAATGCACTACATAAATAACAGAAATTATTTCGAACGAACAGGATTGGCCTGTTCCATATAAAGAAAGCTTTATTTATAATAGGAAAACTAAATAAATATATAAACTTATTATAAAATGAAAAAATTTTTTTATATACATAATATATCAATATTTATTAAACATTTATTATCATCAAATTAATTGAGCCGATTTTATATACAACGTTGCGTTGGGAAAGAAGTATGGTGGCTTTCATCATTAAAGTTCTCACGAGCTAACTTGTGAGCTCGTTTATGAAGTTATTTTTTCCTGCTAGGACATGAGGTTTGTTATAAAGAAAGCAATGTTGGCAGTGATGAATATTTAACTTTTGAACAGTCAGTTAAGTAACCACATGACATAAATTGATTAATTTGTTTCTACAATTTTTCGCCTACATCTTTTTGTTATTTCCTATCAGCTTTTAAGCTGTGCCGAATTGATAAATTTTTAAACCAAGGTGTAAATAAATGTTATACTTTCCTTTAATTAAAATTAAAGTTCATCCGGAAAACAATATCAAATATTATATGCAATTGTGGAGATTAAGCAATTAGTATGTGTACAATTTGCAAACAAAAAAATATGCAATTGTCATGCACTATTTGCTTTAATATCTACAATTACATATAATATCTGTTAATATTAAATAATTTTCAATTAGTTAAATGACCTGCACGTTGATTAAATAGCTGTTAAATAACTGTTCAAATGATTGCAAGTTATTATTATTTAATATTAACAAAATTAATCGATTATTTAACCAATTAACGGTTCAAAAGTTCAAAATAGTTCAAAAAAATATTGAACCAGTTAAATTGCCAACACTTAACTAATCCCTTTATGGAAATGTGAATATCTTTAGAATCCATATTGGCATTGCCTTTTTTGTATATACAATTTTTTCATATAATAATAAATAATGATAATAAACTTTAGTGTAACAATAATCACCAAATTTGGTTAACATATATTCCGTAAGCTTTAAAAGTTCTGCCACCACCCTTTGATTAAAATGATATTTAAAATCCCATTTATCTATTATTATTATTATTTATTTATTTGTATTACGTATAAATATATTTATTTATTTATTTCGTATCGTAATAGTTATTTAACTTTATTTAGTAGGTATGTTTCTTTCGCGCAATACATAAAGTTGTGTTTACACAAGAGACATAAACTTTATGTTTAACAGTAGTGTTGGTCGCCAAAACTATTTTGAAGAGGTGAAAGTCAAAACTAAAATTAAAAGTTATATGTCAAAACTAGTTTCGACTTATGGAGAAACCTTTTGACTTTCGCACGGTTGCGAAACTCTCGAGTTTTGGAAACCAACACTATTTAACATAGAGTAGTTTCAAGGACATAATAATGTGTTAAAAACATAGAATAGTAGATAATATCACTAATTAATTTGATTGTATATAAGAAAGAAGCTTGAATTCGGCCTATTTGAAAAATAACTTTGTAACAAGTTAACTTTGAAATAAGTTAATAAATTCGATTAAATAAAATAAATAAACATTTTCTTAAATCAATAAACAAGATTATCTGCTAATAAAACCAATTCGTTAGTAATAGCCAATTCATTATGATACACATAATCATAGTCATCAATTAATATACTCTCCTAGATAATAATTGGTAACATAATCGTAAAAAAGATAGCATGCTTACAGGCAAAAATTTTCCCGCTTAATACCATAAACTAGGAAGAAATTTTTAAATCATAGAAATTACACTTCATCCTCAAAGTCCTTACGATATAAATAATGATAAATATTTATTATTACGTGTCAAGCTCAATATAATAAAAATTAAATTAATATGTGTTATCTTAAATAACACAACAACAACAATAAATAATAATATAGAAAAATTGTACTTCTTTCAAGTTCTCATCAACTAATTTGGATTTCCAATTACCTTCATCCTGTTTACAATCCAATTTCCTCGCCCTAGCTGATCTTTTGAGCTTTTGATCCATCTTTTCCACAATTCAATGCATTTTTTCTTTTTTAGATTCAAATTTGTTAATGTAATCAGTTTCCAACACAATTCTATCCCAAAACTTTTTCATACAAGTTTTAAAATTTGGAGTAAACTGATCATCATTATTATGTGTAGTGGTGACATTAAATTGTGTGTTGATTTCAGAATGAATCTTTTTCAATTCAATAAACCAGAGTTTTGTTCTTTCTTCAATTTCAATTTTCTTTTCACGATTATCAAGATATTGAAAGAGAGGTTGCTTTTGTAACTTTAGTTGATTTTTTAATCCTCTTTTTTTGTTATTGTCATTGTGATAATTGAATGTTGGGTTAATATTGAAAATTTGTGGTAAGAAACCTTCAAAGAATGGTTCCAAAGTTGCAAAGTTATTTGATTTCTTTAATAAGTTCAAATGTACCAATTCAAATGGAACATTATTCTTACAAAATTCATTGTAAATGGATATGATCAGTTCAAATGCACAATTGGTAATTTCTCCTGGTGTTTGTCTTTCAGGATGAAGCAACAATTCCCTATCAATCCAAGTCTTGGATGTAATTACATCATTGAAACATAATCTTGTAACAATTGAATCAGGTTTGAAGTTTTTTAGTATCCATTTGTACAAATTGCTACTTAACTTCAATGTTCTTATATTGTTTATTGGACTTTCAATGTTTGAATTTATAAATTTAAAGTCATTGTCACATATCAACACTTCAATATAATACTTTGTCCAATAATAAACATTTCTAAAATTCTCAATGTCACATGGATGATATTTGTAGCCATAATTATAGTAATATTCATATTTATGATAATAATTAATGGGTTCTTCAATATTTTTTTTGTTGATGGTCAAATGATTGCTGCCATTATTATTAATGTGGGTAGAAGATCCGTTTGATTTAAATTTTTGAAATTCAATTAATTTGTTCCTAGTAGTATCATCAAAATAATGGTAAACTAGAGCTCTAAGATAAACAGGTTCTAAATCATTTTCTTCGAGTTGCATCTTAAGAAAATCCAAAACATGATGTTTTTTCAAATTTCTGTTGATTTTAATAGCTTCCACAATGCAGCATCCAACAATTTCGATTTTTGATTGGTTCTTTACCTTTTGAAAAGCTCCTATAAGTGTCACTCCAATTTTGGCAAGATGTTGTTCATACAAAAATAAAATATCTGCCATAACAGATTTTGTCAATTTGAATCCAACCTTGATAAATTGTTGTATGCGTTCAACAAAATCATCCATAGTTGGAGAGATACAATCTTCTTCATTTTTTGAATTTGGATAATATAGAATTAATAAAGAGCCTTGTAACACCAAATTATTAACATCTATACATATATCAGAGTAACCAATTTGTTTCCATAGTTCCACTATTTCTGGATAAATTAATATTGCTCTAGCAATTATGTTTAATTGCTTATTATTTTCAAAACCATCTTTGGCTGGATACTTTTCACAATTTATAATTTGCATTTCCTTTTGGTATTCAATTGTGTCTTCAAACAAAATTGTTGGTCTTGGAGGGAAAGGTACAAATTTTTTATTAAGTATAAGATCCTTAATTCTTTCAAGGTTTCCTTTTAATTTTTCTGGTGCCAAGTATATAGGTAATGGTCCACCAGTTAAAAAATGAAACGATTCAATATCATTTCCTTTTAAGGGAAGATCTATACCATATAGTTCTCTGGCCTCCTTTAACAAATAGATGAACACAGCTAATGGAATACTCGAAGCCCATGAATTCCTAAAATATTTTCGTGTAACTTTGGACGCGTTTTGGTTTGCATTACTGGTGTTATTATTTATACTATTTCCAATAGCGGAATTAATAACAACATTATTATTGTTATCAGCGCTATGGGTGTTGTTATTATTGATGTTATTGTTATTAATAATATTGTTATTATTGATAGTAATATTGACGTCATTTCTAAATTTTAGTTCAATCAAGGTATCATCTGTTTTCCCGAATTGTAAAAGCAACCGTTGCGCAAGATATCTAGATAAAATCACTTTTTCTTCCGTGATGAGAAAAATGACGAGCTCCATCGAGATAAAATTCTCACCAAGTCGGATCGCGTGGAATAAGGCGTTTGCTTTTCCATAATTTTGAATAACCCACTTTGCTCGAATTCTTGATTTGCACGACATTCCGTACCATTTTTTATCGAGTAAAATTAGTGAACGAGGTTTAGGTGTGTGTATGAAAATATTTTCTTTTATCGCATCTGGTAATGAAGCCATGATTTTGCTTATTTTGACATTTCCCATTTTTTTTTCGAAGCATCATTGTGCCTTGCTTGAATCCTTTACTATTATATACAAATTTTTTTTAATTGTCTGTAAATGATAAAAAATTTTTTCAAATTATTTGTAAATGATGGATAAAATTAAATTTCGGAATTATTTTTCTTTGATAGTTTCCTTCTTTTAGAAAATCATAAATTTTTGTACAACAATTGTACAAAAATAAAAAATATAGCTTAACTCAGTGCCGACGTAGTTTGTTGTTACATAAGGTATACCTCATTGCTCCTATATAATGTTTGCCGTGTATTGTAAAGCTACGTTGCACAACATAAAAAATTAGTGTAACATTTCATTGAATTTACGAGACTCAGAAAAAACAATATGTCCGTTGTTTAAAAAATTTATTGTTATTAATATTTACTCACGGAAAAAAAAAAATCAAAATGAAAAAATATAATAATATTAAACGTTCGAGTTTTCATTTATTGTTTTTCTATTTAGTCTTAATTAATTTTATCACAATTCAAAACATATTTGTCTACAATGATAATAATAGTAAATGGAATCCGGTTCATTAAAGACAGCCGATGGGAATCCATGGGTGAGGCTTCACATAATTGAAGTATTCTCTTCAATGATAACTTTAAAAATTATAAAAGACTATTTTTTATCTTTCTAATTGAAGAAACTTTTTTTTGAAAAGTCGAGAATACTAACAACACAGCCTTCATTATGTAAGTCTTTATTTTACGGCATAACCGTTATTTGAAAAAATAAGGGTATTTTCTTTAAAATATTTTTAATGAATTCACTAATAGTGTCTTGTATTATTTTTATATCGATAAATGATAATTATTCTTGAAATAATCATAATTAAACGTTTTATTTAAAATTATTCATACTTTTCAATTAGAGTATAATTTATTCTTAAATCTTGCATGACCTTCTTTAATTCCAAGAGAAAATATAAGTCAAAATTTGGTGCAATGAATTCGTTGTCTCTTATCATCATTGGTTTCATTCTTTAATCTCAGCACTTGAACCGAGACAAATTTCTCTCTTTCAATTAAAATATTCAATGGCTCCACATCTTGTAGGAGTTTCAAAGCATTATTCATTTGTCTAATTGGTCAATGGTCCATTTTTTATTAGAAAGAAAGTATGAAGATTTTGTCATATCAATGAAATTTTATTATAATTATTTATACTCGATAAGGATAATTTAAAATAAAACATGAACCAATTTTATTTCTACTCAAAATTTTGCAAACCCCTGGACAAAAAAATAATATTTGATCTTTTTTTTTGATTTGTTAATTTATTGAAGGAGGTTTTACGTGAAAATGAAATTATGTGAAATTCAAATCAGCCAATCAGAATTTCACCCCACTCCATAATATTTCAATTTCACATACAACAAATCCCCCGAAATTAAAATTTTTACCCCTTTCACTTAATATTAATATTAATATTAAATAATACATTACAAATTTAATTATTTCTATATTACTCTACAAAACAATTGCTTTTAGAAGATAACATAAAGTTAATTTTTTCAGATATTGGTCATAGATTAGCGGTTCCAAGATATATATGTAATATATACATACATTAATATAAAATCTAAGTGAAAATCAAATTAGCCAATAAAAAGGAATTGCGGATCTAAATATTCCCATATGTAAAGATTTCAATTTCACATAAAGACGTATTTTGACTTGTTATGCATTTAATATTAATATTGTTTACAATAAACATGATTTATTTCTAATATTTCTAATAAATGAGATCTTGTAGTTTTAAAGATTATCTTTAACTTTAGATAGAAGTCACGTAACTAGTATAAATTTAAATATAAACAGAAATGCTGTGCGTAATTGTCAATTTGAAATTCACGCGCGTGAAATTCAAACTAGCTAATTAGAACTTTCCATCCAAACCACCCCAAAACTTGAGGTTTAGATCATGATTATCTATCTCCTAAGCCTTCTAACAATGAAAGTTTAAAAAAAAATTTTTTACTACCAAGCCAAATTTGCTAATTTACGCGACCCAAATTTTTTATTCAATATTATATAATATTTTTTATCAGGAAAAGCCGTCACTATCAATAAGATTGAAGGAAAAAAAAAAGGAAAGCTTTTGAGATGCATTAATTGATTGTTAAGTTCAAAAAACTGGCATCGAAGAAAAACCAGTTTTTTTAATTATATTATAAATTAATAAATTATTCCCCAATCAAAATTTTACGGGCAAAGCTTAACTATTTTAATAATCAGAAAAGCAGGATAACGATCTGATTTTGGTGCTGTTGTTAATCTTGATATTAAACAAATCACTGTGTAAGTTAAATCTTTTTGTTATTTTATATTTTAATTGCCATGTTTAATATTCATACATTTATTAACTAATTTACATCAACTTTATTAATAATTAATTCAGTTGATATTTCTATCAACGCAATCACCCGAAATACATATATTTTTTTTTATTCAAGTATATCAAATAATCATAAATAATTAAATTTTATTTTCACGCACAACATATATATTTGTAATTTCATTTTCAAATCAACGATACACTATCATCAAATAAAAATATAAAGAGCCTTTTTTTACTTTCATATTAACTAAGGCAAAAACCAAGAGCAAAACCCTAATTATTACTAAAAAAACAAAACAAAAAAGGGATCCATATTTCATTTAACAATAACTTAATAACGTGTATCTTAATTTTGAAGTTTATAAATCCTTCAAAAGTTATGAGGGTTTGAATCAGTGTTGGAAATTCAGGGTGCGCAGGGTGCGCGCGCAGCATGTTACACCAAAATTGTGAAACATTTTATGTGCAAA